TAATAACGAGGACGACAGGATGAACCCAAAGCCGAACAAAAATTGCCCTTAGAAGTAGAGTCCCACGGGACTATTGCTTGGAAGGGCTTTTTCACATTCCCAAGTTCTTTTGTCCTCCATTGTTTAGCCTGCGTAGCAGGCGTCGAAAGGGGTAGGGGTAGAGAGGATAGGGAGGAGGGAAAAAGGGGAGGGGATTGGGGAGAGGGGAGGGACGCCTGCTCTAAGAACTCCCATTTGTTCATATCTGCGGACGCTGGCGTCCGCAAATTCCTGATTGGCTGAGCCGTAATGAGTAACATATTGAAATGCGCGTTTCACAAATCAACAAACAGTCGAGATGGCAGGTGGATGTCGTAGAGAGTGCTTTGAGGGATGTGAATTTATCTAGTGGTAGAGAAACTGTTTTAAAACCGGAGCGAGAATCATCAGTAAGGGCTCTTTTAGTGGACAGAGATGTTCTGGCGGTTTTGCGGACCGGATACGGCAAGAGTTACCAAATGTTTGTACGCGCGAAGAACTTCATTTCGCCACTGAAAAGTATTATCGAAGACCAGTTGCAGGAGATGGAACTGTTGGGCTACCCAGCGAAAGATTTAGCCAATTTATCGAACGATGACATTCGCCGATGTAAAAGAGGGTGGTTTTACCTCATGCCAAAATGCTGCTTATTCCAATAAAGTTGTTTTTATCTGCTGGGTAGATTATGCTCTGGAAGGTTCTGCATTTATACTGAGAAAATGTTATTTTAGCCGCATGTTTCACACTGAGAGGTCATGACATACATATCGATTGACTGTAGTTATTGTTTTCTGGTCGGCAGGATTTGCCCTCTGATGCAAGCGCAATTTCTTTGACCTCTTTTGAAGCGTAAAGCTTTTTTTATTACGGCTGAATAAGGGTTCCAATTTTCTCCAAAGTGCCTTCTGGATCTGAATAACTAAGCGAATTTCTTTAGTCCGTGAGTGTAATGTTTTTCTGCAATGGCGAGTGTAGCGACACTTGATTGACAGTAAGCGTAATCGGATTACTAGAAAATTGGTAGGCGTTATGCAAAAACATAGGCTCTTAGAGCAGGCGCTCCGTTCCCTTTTCCCTTTCTCTCCCCCCCCCCTCCCCCTCCCCTTTTTGCGCCTGCCACGCAGGCTACCATTGTGGAAATAGATTCAGAGCCAGGGGCACCCAACGTCAATTTTCGGAAAATATCTGTTCGGAAGACGATTTGAGATCTAGAATTTTCAGAACATTTGTTGTTAAATGTCTTGCTTGCCTGCCCCTCCTAGGATTTTTCGAACATCTAAAAAATGGGAAAATTGACCATTTTTAACGGGTTTTAACCCTAAAAAGGTCACCTAGAATTTTCGGAAGCCTTTTTTCTAGCTGAAATTTTCGAAAAGGTAAGTTTTGATCCTTATATTTTCGGATCACTATACTTTCAGCTAGAAAATTTCAAACAGATGAAAAATTTTAAGCGGATAAAAATATGCCTATAGCTACCGTTTAAATACTAAAATGCGTTTAACAATGCTATGTTTAAGTGGTTTTGAACTAAATTACTGTTATATTCTCGTTGGGTCCCCCTGCAGAGTGCAGGCCGGTCGAAGTCGGATTAAAATCGCCGGTTAAAATAACCATCGCGTTTGGATGTTTCAAAAGATACGTATCCATATTCCTCTGTATATGGTCACGAAGAGTCGCAGTTTCCGCCTCTCCATTGGCAACTGATGATAAACAACACCTAGAAAAATTAGCATTTTAAGAGCGACTGTCTGTAAATATCAACCAAAATCGAGTTTTGTGGCACAAGTTCAAAATTCAAATTTCGCTCATTTTTGGCTCATCGATAACCCTTAATGAGTAATGAAACATTCTGTAGTTAGTTTTCCCAAATAACGAGTTCTTTTTGTTAAAATTCGAAAAAACGCATTTTGCCCGCTCAGAGCTCAAATCCACTTCCGGTAAAGCGAAATTTTACACAAATTCCATTGACTCGTATGTCAAACCACAACGATTTGGCAGCCTTTGAAAAACACGAATAGTTTTTATGACCCTTTCTTCTTATAAGACGATAAATTTGGGAAAGCTGTAATAATTTTGTGGCCAAAAGGTATTGTTAAAAATAGGCCCTATTGACAATTTCTACCGTTCAAAATTATAGGGTAAAATAATGCAATTTTTTTCAATGCGCTGTAACTTAGAATTTCGCAAATTGACTTTCTAGGGCTTAACTAGGCCCCAATCTATTAGAAAATCGAAACAAATCTCTGGGCAAACGATTTTAAGTAGCCCGCAAGACCTCGAGTTCAACCCTAATTTTGCGAAAAATCGCGACATTCCAGTGGTTAAAAATAGCGTTACACGGCCGGCCCGTCACGCCAGCGGTGTTAACGACGGTTCTATTTCTATTCAACGCTGATCACATGCCAAATTCCAGCATACAATCTATATTACGTCTTTCAATACACTTATCTTATTTAGAACAGTCATTTTGTTTGGATACAATATATGGTAAAGAATTGCCCAAAAGTCGGCTTTTCTGAGCGACGTCGGCAGGACGTCACGACCGAGCCTAACGAAAACAGACTTTAAACAAGTACAGTGGTGTGTTTTATTAATTTAAGCATCCGTCAAAAGGCATAAATACGTTAAATCTAAGAAGGGGACAACCAATAGTAACTAATTAGAACACTTTTTTTTTCTTGCGAGTTTTCTCTTTCAAGTAATTATGTATAATAAGTACACATGTACGTTCCGATGTATTACTATCACGCTTATAAAGGTACATTGTAACGAACGTTTCAGAAAACATCAGGCGGTGTGCGTCACGAGATCCGACCAATCAGAATGCGTCATTTGTAGAGTGATTTTCGCGCTCGGGAAGAGCTGTTTTCAGAGGTGTATGTGGTGAAATTTTCGCTTTATTCCAAGCTTATGTTGGTTATTTCGACACTATACCGCCGTGGAATGTTGTTGGAACACTTTATCTTGATAGCAGTGGCATTACTTTTAAATATTTTGCTTTCTTGAGCGTTTGTGACAAGTTTGAATAGCTCGGTCATGTGCAGGCCGCCATGATGATTTGAGTGTTGTTTCTGCCGTTCCTCTTGGATTTATTGCTGGTTACTGTTAGCGGTTTTATCGAATTATTTTGGCCATCTCGTTTCTTCAACCTTTCTTCTTTTTAAATTTCGGGGTCTACCCGGGTCTACCCCTGTTAGTTTTCCCGTTATGAGCCGTTGAAAGTGTCTTGGAATTGGTAAATGCTAGTTTCCATAGCTCAAACCGCCCTTGGATACCTTATGATGCCTACACAAAGTAATTGCATATATATGAGTGAGCCCTGACTATAGTGATTAGGGTTAACGGTTAGCTTCTTTTTAGGGTTAGGGTTTTCGTTACAGTAGTTAAATTACTCCATTGCCCTGCATCGAATCCTCGGTGGTGTAGCGGTTAGGGCTTGGGACTACTGATTTAGTATTCCGGGATCGATTCCTGCTCGTATCTCGGTATTTTTTTTCCTTTAAAATTGAAGAGACTTGCACTTTGACGACATTTGTTGAGCAGAAACTAAGTCTCTGGGTCAAGAAACTTAGAAATTTCATGTAAGTGTAAGTGAAAAGGGAGAGGGCGGTTTGAGATATGGAAACGAGTGCTTACCGCAAGGTTGTAGCTTCTTTGTTAGTTGCTCTGATTTCTAGTTTGATATCATGCGTTCAGATAAATGCAGCTGTGATAAATTTACACAACCAATACATCAGAGATCGACAGGATGTTTTGAGATTGTTATCAATGAACAGTGGGCATCATAAAGTCAAAAAAAGAGCGAACCTTCACCGAAGGCGATTCTGGACGCGACCTTAACTCATCCTTCTTGTGTGGAAAATCTTTGCCAATAGCAGCAGCATCTTCTGGCGAGGGATAATGAGCACTGTCCGCTTCGAGAATCTCGCCATACAAGTACTTGTCAACACAAGATTCCCAGTCGATGCTTTTGGCGATTTGCTTCGTTTTGTATTCGTGACCGTCAGCAGTAGTTCAACTTCATCATCGGTCCATTCATATGTATCAGCATACTTTTTTTTGACTTTTTCAGTAGTTTTAGACATTTTTTCGAGTGATAAACTACAAGCTTCGACTGTTTAGCTGAGGCGCGAAAGAAATGGCGCCTAAATCACAATTATGCGCATGCTCATTTCAGGATTCTCTCCGGCAAAAGAACTGGGCACTAGAGCAAATCAGAAAATTTCCGGATACAATCGGATACGTATGGACGGCCTAAAACGATTCGAATACGCTGCGTGTGGACGCGAAAATTTTCGCATCCGCAAAAAAAAAAATATTTGCGGAAAAAAAATTTCCGGATACGTGTGGACATGGCCTAAATTTTCTAATAGATAGGGGACTAGTTAAGCCGTAGAAAGTCAATTTGCGAAATTTTAAGTTATAGCGCATTGTAAAAATTTGCATTATTTTATCGCTATGGTTTTGAACGGTAGAAATTGTCAATAGGGCCTATTTTTAACAATACCTTTTTGGCCACAAAATCATTACAGCTCTCACAGATTTATCGTCTTATAAGAAAGAAAGGGTCATAAAAACTATTCGTGTTTTTCAATAGGGCCAAATCGTTGTGGTTTGGCGTAAGAGTCAATGGAATTTGTGAAAAATTTCGCTTTACCGGAAGTGGATTTAGAGCTCTGAACGGGCAAAATGCGTTTTCTCGAATTTTAACAAAAGAACTCGTTATTTGGGAAAACTAACTACCGCATGTTTCATTACTCATTAAGGGTTATCGACGAGCCAAAAATGAGCGAAATCAAATTTTGAACTTGTGCCGACCGGTAGGTTGATATTTACGGAAAGCCGCTCTTAATGGCTATTACGCAGTACGTCTTGGGAAGTTTTGATATTGGGGTTCCCAAAAGAATAGCCACTGCCAGTCGTCATCTCAATTTGCATGATATACTTCCGCAAAGTTTGCGATTTTCGTCGATCGGATAGGGATGGCTTTTGCTCAAACCGATAATCTTTTGAGCCCTTACAGAAAGTTTCTCGTTGAACTTTCATCGTACATTTCAGGTAACGATTTGGAGACCTTGAAATTTGCTGTTGTAGATTTAATTCCACGCAGGAAAACGGAGGACGCCAGCAGTGGATTGAAGTTATTTGATATATTGGAACAAGATTTAAGAATATCACCGGGAAATCTGTCTCTTTTGGAAGATCTCTTCAAAACAATTGGTAGGATGGATCTTGCTTTGAAAGTGCAATATTTTTCAAAATCGACTTTGGCCGATAACTCCCCCAATAACATAAATGGTAAGTTGAATATTTTGACGATGTTTTGGTGTTTAATCCGGAAGCACATCGCATATCGTGAAGAAAACGAGCCACCACGCTTAAGTTGTGTTCAGTGGACGTAAAAGAACACTGAAGTACAGTTGACTCCCGATAGCTCGAACTAGGGAAATCAAAAAAAGTACGAGTTATCGGGAGTTTGAGTTACCGAGAGTTTGAAGCAAATAACCGGAAATAAGAAAATAAGCAAATGCATGGAGAGGGAATGCAATTAAGCAACAAAGTAAACAGGAATGGACACTGGATTTGAATTGAAGTGACAAAAAAAATAAATACAAAGAATTGACACGGTTGCTTTGAAATAAATTCAATGTCTTGGACTTCAGTACACGGGTTTTTTTTTTCCTAACTAATGTCACGCGCTTTATAACATGGCTCGAGTTATCGAAGGTAAAATTATATAGAAATGATCTGAAGGGGAACAAAAATTACTTCGAGTTAGCAGGAGGGTCGAGTTATCGAGGGTAAAATTTCAGTAAATGTACGAAGGCTGAATCCGGGAAATCGACTTTGGTTCGAGTTAGCGCAAGGTTTGAGTTAGCGAGGGTTCGAGTTATCGCGTGTCAACTGTAAAATGATGTTGCAATGTTGGAACTATGTTGTCACCTTTCGAAACAATATCACAACCAATGTTGCAACGCTTAGTTTCGCTAAAAATCGTCGTTGCGAGCATCACCTTTAAATGTCAAACGCTTGGCATGGAAATGAGGCTGTGTATTTTAAAATTTTGGTAAACATGGCTCAGATGTTCGCATATTATCAGGATGTGTTGAATATAAAATACTTACTAACCAAAAAAGCAATAACCAAAGGTTACAAAGTGCAGGCGACATTACGATCGAAAGTCAAAATGCTTTTGATCCAATGCCGCGTGTGCTTTGTGTTGCGTAACTTTCATGTGATAGATGGTTAACAACTTCTGTCACTTGTCAACGTTTAAAACACTAAACATTCTTATTTAAAATGGTAGTTGAGGAATATCTTGATTTCCTGACAATGTTTTTCGCATCCATAGACCACAGGCAGATCAAGTTCGTTGAAAGTGTTTGGAAGATTTGCAACTGAAAGTTAATCCCTGTGATTGATAGCGGTGTACCCTTGATGCCTTAGTAATGAGGTAGTTCTTGTATTAGATCACCTCTTGCTGGAGTACAGAACTTCGTGTTGTTATCACACAGCTATTGTGCTTCAGTACTTACAATCACACATATAATGTTTATTGGGGCAAGTAAATCTGTGAAGATTGAGAGTGTCAATAAAACTTTATTTTCACCGCCCTGTCATTTGTAGGCATAGGTTTATATATTCAAAATGAGGCTGACATTACAGAATGAGATATAATTGGTTATTCAGTGGAAGTAAGAGACAATCTTCCCATGAATGAAATAATTATTAATGTGCACCATTCAGTATTGCTTTGTAATTGTCTCTGCAAGCCAGCTAGTTGTTATTCTCAAACTCAGAAAACAGAGAACATGCACCTAAAAAATTTCAGGACTATTGATTGTGTAGTGACCAATCACATTTAAGTTCAGGACATGCAAGCAAACCTCAAAACCACAAACTAATTACGGCTTCAGCTGTTTGCGGTTTAGTTTTCTCATGACTTATCGGCTTTTTCGTCACAAGTGAACACAATAATATTCCATAATACTATTAGAATTTCAACCTTTCACAATGACAGTGCCTCCTTAGGAGTACAGTCAACTGTCTAGGAGTGCAGTCAACTGTCTCTGAGATGGACACCTTTGGGACCGGTATTAAGTGTCCGTCTTAGGGAGATGTCAGGCCATCTTCTAGTATAGAGTCGAGTCAAACAAAGGGAGTAAATAAAGATTAAGGGAGAAACTCCAGGTGTTTTACAGAGGTGTCCATCTTATAGAGGTGTCCATTAAGAGAGAGTCCACTGTATACAGGATACAGGTTGTGGCTTCAGTAGGAAAAATGACCTTGCAATTTAATTCAGGGCTATTATATGAGAACGGTAAAGAAAGATACGGAGATGGCAATTATTATTCATCTACTAGTGAGGTCTGAAATCTGCAGAATGTCTTCTTTGAACTACCCTATTCCTATTACACACATCTTAACCCTTAGATACCCCCCCCAGTCCCTTGACACTCACAAATCCACCCAGCCCCAGTCATTGTCTTCGTAATAAACATAAATTGCTGGTTGATCATTGGCATGGGTTGATTTAGGGGTGTGCCACTGAAGAGGACTGCACTGCCCCCTCCCCCATTTTCTTAGAAGTTTTCACTTGTATCAGTTTTAAAGAATTTTCAGTAAAATAAATAGTAACTATTTTGCAGGCTAAAACATTCTGGTTAGCCTCCCGCCCCCCGTCCCCTGCTTCATGAATTTTCTGGATCAGCCCCTGTATGGTGATTCACCTAACTATAGTTGTATTGTCAAACAATATATTTTCTCTATTGTATAAGGTACAGAGTTTGAAAATCTGGTCACTGATGGGGGTGGTGATGAGGCACCGAAATGCCAAACAGCAAAGTGTGTGGCGAAAAGTGAGTATACAATCTCAGGCCTAGTTCTGTTTTTAATTGTTAATGGATTTTGTCTTTTTTGCATATTGAGTTTCCTTCCCTACTCACAGGAAAAATAACGGATTCCCATTTTTGGATATTTTAGGGTATTTAAAGAATACCCATAAAAATCCCAATTTGGCAAAGTGAGACAAGTCCCAACCAGGGAATTCCCAACCAAGTTCCCTTATTGGGACTTCCCACACTTCCAAATTTGGGATTTTTGTGGGTATTCTTTAAATACCCTAAAATATCAAAAATGGGAATCCGTTATTTTTTCCTGTGACTAAAACTGAAATCTGGAGAATTTGCCTTTTACAAAGATTACCCCCTCTTCCCATCAACTTACCCCTTATCCACCCTACCCTCCCCAGCTAGATAGCCCACCTGACCTTCAAGGTCGTGACACCAGGAGCATCTGCTGACACCCCACCAGTCCCTAACCGTTTTTAATTTGAACTTTATTTATTAGTTGATCCGTCACTACCTCCCCTTCAACTAGTGAATTCCACACCCTTCCATTTACTTGAGGCCTGAAAATGTACCCCTTTCGGGCGGAGCCTCCCCGTATAGGCCATTATAGGAAGTACCCATGAGGGTCAGTCGGGTCACTATGGTAGTTGCATGAAGCTAGGGTGATGAAAACCTCTGCTATTTTCGCCGGGTATGATATGGTTTTAATTATATGGTCATCCTCATTATTTATATCTAGGTGTAGATTTTGAAGATGTGGTCACTGACGGGGTTGGTGATGAATCAGAGAGTGATCCTAATGACCGAATGGCAGATTGTGTGGACAGAAGTGAGTATACAATGTCAGGCTGCCCCTGTTGCTGCCTTTGCGTTATTTTGCTTGCGTATCGACCTTGACCCTCCCCATGTATCCGACGAAAAAGGTCACCAGAGGTACAACTTTTTGAAAGCTTACTCCAGAATGGATATGTCTGACAACACCATTTACCTGTTAACGTTTACTAGATGAGCAAAAACGTCAATTTTCGAAAACGATGACGTCAAGGATTTAGTGCGTGAAAATAATATTGTACTGCTCCTTGCACTTGCGCCACGGACCTCTGGCATATCTTAAGTTTAATTCTCTCGTTTTAGTAGTTAACAGATCAAGGAAATCTAAGGTGCCATGCATTTTCATTATTCTTTTTATGTAAGACATATAACTATTTTACATGTATATCTCAAAGCCAAAACTTCTTTTAATTTCTAAAAATGATTTGTTTCTCTATTGACTGAAAGATAACGCAGTAGCTTCTACGACCGTCTCAGGAGCAATTCAGGGCAAGTTGTTCAGTGCCCCGGCACAAACCTTTAGAGGAATTGAAGGAGTTCAAGTCTCACCAGCAATACCAGTTACACAGAAATCTTCTACTGAGAAAAGTAAAGGTAAGAAAAAAAACTTGATATTTGAGAATTTCCAAGTATCAAATGAACTATTATTTGTAGCCTGTTTTTCTGGCGGGATTGTTATGCCTGGGGTATTTTCTTGGCAGCCGAGACGATTTTTCCCCGGCGCTATCCCGCAGACACGCAGGGTAGAACTTTACAGAGCTTTAATAAGGTTATCAAATTTTCATCATACCCCGTGCCTTTAATACTTGGCTTGTTGCTTTGCTGAAAAAAGTACTTTTGATGGTTTAGCTTCATCGTAAACGTCTTCCTAGTAAGCTTTTCTCCGTTCTCATTACAGCGCGCAGCTTGAGATCAGGAAGGTTGGTTTTAAGGAAATACCTAATTCCTCTACATAGTTTTGGGTCGACATTAGGATGAGCTGAATACATTTATCACTACTGCTAGAATTAAAGTTATTATGATGATGGCGGTAGTGAACATTGTGACATTAAGGCCATTTATACGAGGAAAAATAAGACGCGTCTTCAATAAGACGCGAACTTTCCGTATAAATGGCGCATTTCGTCTAAAATAAGACGCGGCTTAGCAAAGACGCGTCTTATTTTAGAACAGCCCTTAACACCTGTTCTTAGATAAGACGCGCCTTAGCTGAGACGAGAAAAACTTCGTATAAATGACCTTCGCTTCTTACATAAAACGCGAACGCATAGTACGCATGCGTTAATTTTTGGCGCGCCACGTTGGATTGCCGTTGCTACGGGCAACATACACATGAAAACGAGTCAAGAACAGAAATAAGACGCGAACCATTCATACGAGCTGTTCTCGTCTTAGATAAGACATGCTCGTATAAATGGTCCAGTTCGCGTCTTATTTAAGACGCGTCTGATGTAAGACGCGTCTTATTTTTCCTCGTATAAATGGCCCTATTATGTCATTTTCATCTCTGAAGATAGTAGTATTAACCAAAACGAAAAATGTAGCGTCGTAAATAACATTGTTCGCTTTCATCGATTATCCTTGACTTGTTTTCTTGCTTCACTCACATCAGGTGAATTAATATCCGTTTCCATAAAGTTATGTTGTATATTATATTGTTGCATTTCTGACCATTTGAAAGGAAGGGCGTTGGACATTGCTTGAATTGCAAGCTAAATTTAGAATTGTAGCTGAAGAGCTAACGATATCCCCCTTTTTCTATTCCAGGCTCCTCCTTTGCTGCGTCTACTTCCAAGAGTTCAGCTCCTGCGCCTGCTCTTACGCCTGCTTCTGCCCCTGCTGGCCCTGGCCCTGCCCCTGTCCCTGTCCCTGCCCCTTCTGTTACATCAGATGCGTCAGCACAGGCAGGGCAAGGTCGCCTTCAACATGATTCCATTGTTGGACCACCACCTAGGCGATATGTCAATTATCTGGCGTACCAAGGATACTCAGTGGAAATCATTGGTGGAAAGCAAAGCTGGCCGCTATAGTACTAATTTACATACCTATCCGATGTGCGACTCTCCACTCAGTTTAGAGATCGGAGCGGCCCAAATTCGCTCCGTTACAGAAATCGCGCCAAAATCACCGTTCTTATGTGTGAATAGAAACCCGATCCGGTATCGATTTCGTTTCGGTGCAAGAGCTAGCTATCCGGTATAGATGAACACAGCCTTAGGTTCCGCACTAGGTTGCCAAAGTCAACCGTCGCAAAATAAAAAGGCCATTAATGTTTTGAGGCTCTTGATATATTCTACTCACAGCTGATATTTACAAGGAAGGAGAGATACAGCAAAAACACTGTCGCATTTCGGAAGAGTTTTTAGATTGAATGAAAGAAGTTTGACGGTTAAGCTTCGTCGATACTTGGTCCGCGCGATAAAGACCACATCTACGGATATTTTTTTATGGTTAACTTTATGCTCGATCTCTGTCCTTTGCAAAGGTTGCAACTTAGACGTATCCATAGATGGCTATGACGTTGGAGGCTGGGTCGTATATGGAGGACAGGAGTTAACGATAGAACGACCAGCATACGAGGCTAAGAAGTTCACTTTCTATCGCGTAAAAACCGCACCCAAAGAAGCTGGTATTGAATCTGGCCGGGATGAAAATGGTCTTGTAAAGTGTGTGTTTACACCAGAAGCCTGCCTAGACATCTCAGTTGCTATTTCTGGCTTACCTCACCCGCTGGAAGTGAATATTGCCCCAGACGCAACGGTTGGGGATTTGAAACGTCAAGTACAGAGTCAGCTAAATGCTGCCAACGATCCCGATCAACTTCTTGTTCTCAATGACAAAGTGTTGCCAAATTCTTCCCGTTTAAGGTCAGTAATTAAATGTAAAAATTACGCAAAATGCACACGAGAGGCCTTGTCATTATGACAATGTCTAGCTAGTAGAAGCTGTGTATTTTTTTTTATCAGGGCAGAAACGGCTGCCGAGTTTCTGTCCACCCAGGTCATGGAAAATTCCCAGTTTTAAGCCATCCTTTTTTGGCTGCGAATTCGTTGCGTGTCTGGTAAAGCCGACTAAAAACAGTTCACATTTTCATTCTGTTTTTGGGTATGGCCAAGGAGTTGAATTGTCTTGGAATTGCCGCGAACTTGAAATCCAGCCAGCAATTAGAGCAGGATTTGAACTCGAGACCACCGCTTACTACTCGGCTTCGCTATATACCTCTAATAAGCGAGCGCGTTCTTTTCATGAGTCTAGATGCTAAGACCTTCAACAGAGGGTTATCGATCGGGCAGTTTCCAACGGGCTCTCTTGCTAAGAATTAATTTGGATGTTTTAACATTAGTAGTAGTAGTAGTAGTAGTAGTAGTAGTAGTAGTAGTAGTAGTATTTGTAGTATTTGTAGTATTTGTGGTGATTACAGAACTTTCTTAACGTGTCAAGAAACTCTAGCGCATAGCACTAATTGGTGACACAAAAATAAAAATAAAATAAATATATAAATAAATGAAAATCAAATATTTAAATAGTGTTAAAATAATGTTAATATAGAGAAGCAAATAGTAAAAACTAGGGAGGTTAAAAATCTAAACGTATTTACACGTAAAAACAAGACATGTACATGATAAATTTTGCTTTGTAACATAGGGTCTCAGAGTTAATTATTACAAAGCATGCGATTTCTAAAGCCATCCTCGAATAAGGCAGTCAGGTCTGTTTTCGTAATTTTAGTCTTAAATTTGCACAGACTATCCTCGGCACGTAATTCCTTTGTAAGTTTCGACCAGAGGAAAGGGCCATAATATCTTAATGAATGCTTTCCATATTTAATCGTATCAAAACGAGGAAGATTGAAATCCGAATTTCTTAATTTTTTTTCTTGTTATAGCTACTTGGTGAAATCGCCTGGAAACTTGAGAAACCTGAGATTAGTTGATGCCGAATTGGAGATAACAGTAGAGGTATCGTCTAGTGAAAGATTTCCGGTAAAGCTACGACCAAGCAAAGCAAATGTCATTGATTTGATGAAAGTGATAGAGGAGAAGCTTGGAATTCCCGTAAGTGACCAGGAAATCTACCACGGAAAAACCCGACTGTCAGACGCACCACGGAGAAGCCTTCCTTCGAAACTCATCTGCAGTATACAGCCAAGTGTAGTTGTGACTGTACGATACATCACTATAACCGTCGAGGACATGGAAAGTGGCGATGGTTGCATAATGAAGGTTGATAAACGAAAAACTTTAAAGAACCTTTTGGATGAAATATCACTGTGCAAAAACATGTCAGAAAATGAAAAAGCGTCCGTTACATTTTATTTCAAAGGAGAAGGACTCTGTCCTTCTGAAAATGACCAATCCTTATCAAGCCTTGGCTTTAGCAGTGGTTCCAAGATAGAAATGAAGAGGTAAGGGTATTTGGCATAGACACGGTGCTGATATTTAAGAATCGCAAAATACCACAGTTTACTTTCCTTACATTGTGTTTTTCTTACTTCAGTCGAACTTCCATATGCGACAACTTCTCGTAAGCCACCAACTCCCACAAAAGGTCACTTATTCAAAGTTAGAATCAGTAAACGTCTGCTACCTCGTTGCATTTTGGGTGGTCTGTTAGGGAAGGTTCAACTTTATTTTATGAGCACAATAAGGAATATGACTAGCTATAGCTATCGCCAAGTGCCAAAGAGCAAATTCTATCTATATGCGCGCGCTGTTGAATTTGTTTAGAAATGTCATGAAATACATTAAGTGATGAAAAATAGATTGAATTTCATTCGATTGCATTGAAAATAGTGCAAACTTAAAGCAAGGGGCACCTAAAGACCAACCGACGGCCGTGCCAGTACCTCACGCATGCGCACAACCGCATCACGCGGGTAGTGGCAGCTGTAGACAGTTGTTTCGCCCTCACTGGGGCTCAGAAGCTTGGGGGAGTCCGTGTTTTAGAAAAACCACTTACTTCGTGCTGAGAGGTGTGCAAAGCAGTCTATCAAGTGCCAGCTCCACACAACACATGTGGGAGCTGTTGCCTGGGAACCGCACGGCAGTTCTCCCACAACATGTCCGCGGAAGGCGGATCATGGTTTTGGTGTATGTGTGCCCCTTGCTTTAATTTGTCTTTTGAAAAAAGCAAACTAAACTGTTCTACTGCATAAAGAATTTGAAATCCCGACTTAACGCATCAAATTTTTCGAGATATTGAAGTTCGTGTTTTTGTCCGAAGTTGCGCACAAGTCATTTTGCGTAATATTTAGTGGTCTTATAAGCAAACTTAAAATCCTCGAAAAATCATGTTGAAGTTTGCGGATCTTCAACGTACAGACTTATATTTGGTCTCTTTTTGAAGCTAAAAAAGTTTATGGTGCGCCAATGAAACCTTGCGAATTATTTTGCTTCAAAGACACAGAAAAATTTGCTGCGTTACTGTTTTTCTTAGCGGCATGCAATAAAAAATTCCAGCAATGCGACAAATGCGACAGATATCGCGTAGGATGGAAATGATCCACCCGACGATTGGTTGAAGACGGGATGAGCACGTGACTCAAAAACACGCACACGACTCGTAGATTCTCTGATCTGTATCACGTAACCAATGACATTCACCAAGCATTCTCTGTGCTGCATTACGTTATGGTTGCCTTACATTACTCTATGTTATATCGATTCAAGTTTTTTTCTGCCCCTGGAACAATCGCGCACGGCTCTATTAGGCTGCCGCCTCGATCGCAGCCACGCGTCTTCGCGAGTCTGCTCGTTGGCAGTAATATCAGTTACCTCTATTTCTTATAAAATCGCTTCAAGTGAATTAAATAACTTGTTTCACTTAATGTGTGGTGGATAAGAACCTATTAAGAGCCTTATAATCAGCCTGAATTGTGAAAAACTACCCCATAATATAAAAACCTGTTCAGTCTGACCTCGAAAATTCTAGGTTCTTATATGTGGGCTTTTACTATATTATATTATTAGGTTTTTGGTTTTTTAATCAGTTTTTTTATTTTACGCTTAACTATATTAATTTTTCAGAGACACTTGAACAATTAATGTCAGTAAAGTGCTACTGATCTGTATATTTAAATAGCGCCATAGAAATAATAAATCATTATTATTATTATTATTATTATTATTAAAATTAACTTTGAAAATCATCGAGCGGTTAAGACACCTAACAACAGTTAACTGAAGTTTTTAATTTGTACCTACAAAATATGAACAGAATTTAATGTGATTAGAAATGTCTGTCGTACACATTAGGTTTGTGAGAAGTTCCGAAAAAGTGAATGATGATGATGAAAAAGAAGCCAAAGGGTCATTGCTTCACTTCACGGAACACCCTGAGGAACAACTGAAATGCATTGAAGACCAAATGAAAGGTATAGGTATTCCTAACAAAAATAATTCGTATTTCTACAAAATTCTTATTTCTATATAAAAAAATATATCAAACTATATGATATTCACGAAATAAATGGTCTTCTTGAAAGAATGATAGATGGTAAATCACTCTCCAATTGAGTTCTCTGTAGCTCAAGGGAATAGAGGGCCTGCCCGGATGTTTGGGACGTCGTGGGTTCGAATCCTGTCGGGGACTTACATTTTTTCTTTGTCCCAAGCTCGTGAAATGGTGATCATTTCATTTTCACATTTGTTTCACCGAGCTTAAAATTTACCATCCTTCATTCTTTCACCACACGTTGTGACATCGACATTGCTGATCCTAGTAGTATGCAGGACGCGTGTCAAATATGAACCTAGTATATGGCCTCAGCTTGGCCTCGCTCTCCACGAGTTCTCCGTTAGCTCAGTGGATAGAGTTCCCTCCCGGTGTTTAGGAGGTCATAGGTTCGAATCCTGTCGGGGACTTAGATTTTTCCTTCGTCCCACACTTGAGACATGCTGATCACTTCATTTTCACAAATGTACTTCTTATCACACAGAAAGTCAACACTATAAAAAAGAAGCTAAAGGATCAATTCTGTCGAGAATCTGGGAAAAAGTTTCTTCTCCATTTGCGGGTTAGTATAGTATAGAATCTGACTTCAGTGGAAGGTGCGTGAGTACGTTATTTTAGTTTACGCACGAGTTGTTGACGTATCAGAAATCGAAAGAGTGAGCGCAGCGAACGTGTGAGATTTCTGATACAAAAACAACGAGTGCGTAAATACCGTACAAAACACTTTCCATATGGTATTGTGTTTGTTAACATACTGAGATATTCATCTTTTTACCAAAGTCTTTTATTTGAATCCTTTTTTTAATTAATTGATAAAATTTGCCGCTAAACATGGTGAGTGACAAGGAAAATGACGATAACTATCAAATACTAATAGTAAATATTATAATGAGGTTGAGGATGAAAGGTAACAGGAACTACCACAAATCTTAAATTTTTGTTCCAAAACTATAGTTAAAAATTTGGGAAAAAAGTGAAAGACAAAAGATGGCTGCTATTAAAAGTACAACTTAAAGACACTTTGTAACTTCCCATGATGGATTGCAGGCGTGTCAGAATTTTCGTGGTCCACGAATTTCCATCGCGACACCAGAATCAACTTTTGCTTGCAGAATCGTTATTGGGCTGCCTGTGACAATGCCCAATCTACGATTGGGCCTTGCAGTCTGTGCAGCAAAATGGCGGAGGGACCACGTGTTTCGTCCCCCGCGATGGAGACAAATCTTTTTTGTTTTTTTTTTTTTGAGGGGTTGTGTGGGTCCTTTCAAATATAAGCAAACGGACTTTAGAAAATTATAAATTAAAGTAATATCATAGATGACAAATTACTCCTTAATTTTGGCGCGCGAAATTTCAGCGTTAACTTATAATTTCACATCTGAAACTACAGAATTGCCATAGCAACGTTCCGCTCTCAGGGATTTAAAAGACGCGCGTTAGGAAGCCTAAACACGAAAGAGCACATTAAGAAGGATCCTATCAAGTATTTTGTCGAAAAATTCTTACATTTCTGTACTTATTTTGCAAATAATACCGACGAGACAGCTTTTAGCTTCTCATATTTATTCGAATAAGCGTCCAACCTCGAATTAGCGCCCAGCCTCGAATAAGCGCCCACCCCCACCCCACTCCCTCCCACACAAACTTCAATAAGAGATAATAAGAGACCCTCCCGAAGACGGAGAGTATTCAGAGTATTTTACAGAAACCTTCCTTTGTTACATCTTCGCTTTTTGTTATTAGCATTTACTGTTTTGTTGAGAAATAAACATACTTCACTTGCTGAGAATGATGAAAATTTAATAAGCGCCCAGCCTCGAATAAGCGCCCACTATCACTATTTAATAAGCGCCCAGAGCGGTTAATGGAATAAATACGGTAACACATTTTATTTTTGACTTCAACAACTACTTCGGGCGTAGTCTTTATCGCGCTCCAATTTCGTTTTTGGTTTTAATAGATTTTTACATGTCTATTCAATCCAAAGCCATCAGTTGCCGGGCATTTTTCTTTCGTTGTAATCTCGCTCAGACTAGAATTGTCTGGAAGTACATGTTTTAAAATACATGGGCATTGAAGTCCTCCAGATCACTGTCATCTCAGTTTGTTAAACTTTTCACCGAATGACTCAAGTCTTTTCCATAATAATAAGCAATAGTAATCGATAACAATCGATAAACAAATCATTATCGATATCTATCTGAAATCGATACTAATCGAAGTCACAACTTTTTTCTTTGTTGACTTGTATCGATTGATATGGGAAATCGATATTAATCTTCGATTGATGACGATTACTATCGAACTTTTATCCATGATTGTAGTTTGCCTTTACAGTTTTAGTGTCAGGAATCAGTGAATCGGAATCAGGACAGTATGTAGTCCGCAATGGACATGCAATGACAGCGGCAGAAAATAGAACGTGCATGGTTACTTTACTGCTAAGTGATTTTAGGTCACGGACAAGTTAGCGCTTGTTCCTTTGACAACATGAATAGACCCACGAATACTTTTCTTAGGTTCAAGTCGACCAATCAAAAACCAAGACATTCATCGACCTAAAAATTACTAGAAAATCTGTCAAAGTAGAACAATAATCAATAGTCAGCAGAACTGAATTGTTTTGCTAGGAGACTTTATTTTGAGCTCTCTTTTCTGTGGCTTATAGCTTTTAAGTTGATAGAACCGGCTGAATTATGAAACAGATAAGCAACGTTGCTAAAGCGTTATTATTACTTTGCAATAAAGCAAAGAATATCAGAGTTGTGTTTTTTGTTGACGTTTAACAATACTTTTATCTTTCTCTCTTTTTTTTTCATTGTTACGTGGATGATCAATAGCACTTTTTAAATAAAGCAAAGAATATTGGAGTTACGTTTAGTGTTTTGATGATGATTAAACATAATTTCCTCTTGTTTTCTTTTCTTTATTTATGTCGATGATCAGTGGACACGAC